GGAGTGAAGTATTCAAAATTGTAGAGATAAACTGTATGGCCTGCACTCATCATTTCCATCGCACAATTATGAGCTGCGTTCGTTATCAACAAATCGCTCGACAACTGCAAAATCATTTAACACCGCTAGATGGCTGTTTTCAGTGTGCAAAAATGAACAGCAACATTCGGTTGAGCGAAGAATTCACCCTCATGAGACTTCGCACCATGTTCTCGTCTGATTTATCGTCACTTATGTAGATCTGATAAACACGATCACGCAGTTTCAGTGCATCAAAGTAGTCTTCCTCTGAGATAACCTCATTAACCATTTGCTGGAATTTTTCTTCGTATGGTCGAATTCGCTTCATTGGTGCTGAAACAGCATAAATTTAAGTACATCCACAGCAGCGATTCTCTCTTTTAATTTGCTTAATTGGATGCAAACATATGGTAAATTTAGCGTCACCCAAATTTCAATTTGATGAGACCGCATAAAGGATTTGACGTGTTGATTCATCAAAAGTATGAGCAAAAACAAAAAAGTTGGCAAACCAAAAAGCAAAGCCTCATATTCCATCACTCCAATCATCCAAGATTTTCGAGGTGCTTTCCGTCGTAGTTGATCGATTGATTCAGGAATGAAATCACCGTCAATAACCGGTACAATATCCAGCTCTTGCGCATTCGTTTTGAATCCTGGCTTACCGTCGAAGCCAATTTCGAGAGCGGAAACAGGCTGATTTCGTAAGAACTCCGTGACACTAACACCTTTCTCGGACTGTTGGCCTGCAGTTGGTCAACATTAAAATACTAAAGCTGATGTGGCAGGATTGAACAGCATTTTAGAATCTATTTAAAAGATGAGGAAAAAATTTAAATGTCGCACTGCTCAAACGTTTGAAGTCATGACTGCTGATCGAATCGGTAAGGACAATTGCGACAAAACAATACGAGGCTCTATCACTTGCCTCCTGGTTCTATCCAGCCAAGCACCTCAGCATGCGCTCTCACAACACTCTGAACATGAGCGATATCACGAACTGCCCACTTGCATGACGCATTACCGCTCATTGGGATCACTTTATGGAAGAGATCTAAACGATCACTCGACTAAATAAAGTTTATTTCAAAGGAATTATCATTCTGTGCAACCATACTTTTCAGCGCAATGCAATCATTATGCTTTCAGTTCAACGCACTTGAAGGAGAGCGCTGCCTTGATCCATACCTCTTGAATAGGGTGACAGTGAAAGTATATCGGCACAAGCACCACCAGCACTTTGTCCAAATACGGTTATATTATCTGGATTGCCACCGAAATAGTGAATGTTCTCTTTTACCCATTTCAGAGCGGCCGTTTGATCGCGTAAACCGATGTTCGTTACGCAGCTATCGTCATGTGTCGCTAAGAAACCGAATAAACCGAGGCGGTATTGTAACGTCACAACCACAACATCTTTTGCACATAGATATCTGCAAAGCTGATTCAACCAGAGCATATTCATCGTGAAAATCAAATTATATCGTTGTTATCTTCTCTTATCTTTCATCACTGAATTACAATTGAAAATAAGTTAGAGTTGAGAAATGAACACCATCCAAATGGTCTATGACAGAGTTTGANTGGGCACTGATCAAGGAACTATACGTGAATTCACTCACTAGGGACCTGAGACTTAGAATCAAGTGAGTGAAATGTGAGTATGGGTGCAAGCAACCTCAAATATGTTTTTGTCGTAAGCAGACCTTTTTTGGAAAAACCTCTTCAATGGCAATAGTATCGATCTTATGATTCCACAATTAGATTTGAAGAATGCAAAGATCTTAACAATGCCTTTTTGGCTAGAAAGCAATCACTTGCTAATTGTATGCAATTGAAGTGCGATTAATAGAATGTTTTGAGAGCGATAGCATTGCTTTCATCAAAGTGAATTGAAATCGCGAAAGTCAACTGAGCTTGACAATGTAGAGGTGTCAAGCATTAAGACGAGTGTTTGATAGAAGAAACGCAAAATGACCAACTTGCAAATTCCGAGATCACCATAACACACGGACGAATGAACCGCGAAAGCACCACCGTGTATCCACACCAAAACCGCCCAACCATTGCCCTTAATTTCTATAAAAGATTACTTAAGATCTTAAGTTGACGTATTCCGTACAAGATTCGTAAAACATTCTTATACACTGCAAGTACTGAACAAGCAAGAAATGTGATTGCAAAAATATGAAGTAACCTACCTGTGTATTGAATGTATCACAATCGGGTGCAAATACGTTCAGGTATAAGCAATCTTCGCTTTTCGGTAATGCACCATAGAGACGATCAAGAATCATATCGCGTTGAGGTGCTCGTGGTGCGTGCTTCGTGCAATCTCGAATGTCATCCCACCTTTCGACTGGCTCCGGCTCCTGACGATTTCGCTTGCATGAACATGAATATTGACACATTAAAAAAAGCATACGATGTCAGTTCTTAGAACTTTGCAACAGCAACTGTCCTTGTATCGAGGAACAAACAACTACTCGAAATTAGTTCAGGTGTTCCAGTTGTTTGCGGACACCGAATTTGAGTTAAATTATACTCGTAATACGGTAACAGCGTCAGTTTTTATTAGTCAATAATAAACATCTGTGAAGAGTCACCTTGAATCGACGTATTCCAATTGGTGGTTTTGCATAGGGAATACCAAGAAAAACGTTCACAAATTTACCACTGCCATTTGAGATGTCAATTTTCTTACCACGAATTTTACCATAATTCGTTTCGAAAACATTCGATGGTATAAAACGGTGATCAGTAAGAAATGAAATGACTGAACCCATTGAGAGGCTGATACACCTTGGTATATAAAGAGTTCTGATCAGACAACAGACTGAATATTTTGGATCTGAATCATAGATTCTGCATCAAGTCTTTATGACCTGATGCAGAAGTCAAATAAAATTGGCAATGATGATGTAATAGTTAATTGAACTGATTCCTTGGAATGAAAAGAAAATTGTGAATGAAAACAATGCAATGAAAGCAACTGAAATCAATAGAGACGTTCGGAATGATGCATGAACACAGGGATGGATATACGAGATGTTCGCATAGCACTGCTCACTCGTGGCTGTTCCAATGCGACGACGTTTGTCGATCGATTGTTGCAGGATTCGGGTTTTCACTGCTATCCCCTACAAAGACCTTAATACATTCGTTTGTTCCGAAGCGCTTCTCTTACCTCGGCTGAGCGCGCGTTAAGCAGCACAACGTGAAAATTTGGATACTTCAAATACTGAGCCATGCGTGGGCTCGACACGAGAACATTAGTCATTGAAACGATTAGAATAGGTTTCAGTGAAGCGTTGGATGACTTGCAGAAATATCCAAACCAGATCCGTTATGATATTTCTACGAAATGTTTATCCCTGAAAACTTATTCAGTCTGAGGTCAGCTTTAATGTGGCCAAACAAACTCAGTTAGTTCTTTGCGTCTTGAATGAGCTGTGTTGGTAGTTTTATTTGATGATGTAAAATGCTATATCTCAAAGTATATCTCACTTTTGCCGTCCCAGAAAATATCTCAAATGTTCACTTTGTCATGAAACATTCTCCATAGAAACATGTCCAATCACCATCTTTTTGTTAATAATAATGGCTAGTAAAGCAAAAGCATTCCCAACATCCTACTGCAAATAGTATTGAAAATAATTTCCTAATTCTATTGAACGAAGAACCCAAACGAATTGTCGTATACTGGTGAAGCACAGATGCAGGTCTAAATTTGATTGCATCTACTCAAAACCTCAACCGAACGTTAAATTAACTGGGTGCCGAATTTCTTATACATTCACAAAATATTTTCCACTGTTATGGGCCATTAGCAAGAAATTTTATTTGAATTCGACAGAACCGATTCGGAACACTTTAAATTGGGAGTAACAATGACATACCGATACGATGCTCAGTCAACATTACGGAATATCGCAGCAAAAACAACACAATTGTACACAAAATCTCATACTATCTGTAAAGACTATGTATTGTCGTTTCAATCTTTACTCGCAAAAATACCACAAACTTGGGTGATTAAACCACATACAATAACAAACATCACCAACGAAATTGTAATGCTAACAGTAAATCAATGAAAAATTACAACTTTTCATAAATTCCAATTCCATACAACGAAACTTATCAGTGGTAGAACTTTCCTTTCATACTGATATATTTCTAATCATCAGTTGCACCGCCTTAATTCTTTGAGGCTCGAAATGTCAGTCATTTTCGTCTTATTAAACTATCCCTCTGATGATTTTCTTATCCATTCTCTGACGGATAGGTCGCCATATAATGGCTCTTCGCGTAAACAATCTACTGTCAATCAAACTAATAATATTGTTATTAATTCATTCTAATAA